CAGATTTTTTTTGAAATACATATGTTATGATATTTTCTCAAACTAAGGTTATTTTTAATCTTAATTATTATAACTGTGTTTAGATGGATGGATGTTTGTTAGAGTTACGCCTAAACTGGTAAACGGATTTAGATGTTTAGCATAGATGTAGAGGATAGTCTGAAAGTACATATTTCTGATTCCATGCTACGGAATCGCAGGCGAAAGCTAGTATGCCATTGGAAGTGCAATTTTAAAAGTCAGAGCTGTGAAATAACAAAACTAATTCGGTCGCTGAAAGGATTGTATGAACGAACGAATGAATACAGCTGTGAGTGAATGAAAACAAAGCCTGTAAAAATTGAACAGCGCCGTGTGTTGACACAAGAATGGGATTTGCAAGTTTTAGTACATTTCAATGGATATTTCAGAGTCGGGGTGAGTTAAATGAATTTTTAGTGTTTTCGCAGACAGATTTTAATGCTTCGAGAATTGATGAGTACGAATAAATCAATCATAACAGTCTGGGAATTATTTAGATTTTAAATTATTCGATACTTAAATAGAAGTGTTTATTTTAGACTACCACTTTAAACAAGAGAATACTTCGGATGCTATCGATTGGTTGTGTCAGAAACTATATAAAACTAGCTGTTGCTCGCGACCTCGCCCGCGTGAAATTAAAAAATATAGCATATGTTACTCACAGATAAGTTACCTTTCTAACGGTGAAAGAATTTTTAAATTCGGCCCAATAGTTTTTGAGTTATTTCAATACATACAGAAATACAAATCTTTCCTCTTTATACTAGTATAGATTTACTTTAACATAGTAAATGCTATATTCAGCAATTGTAATTTAGTTTCAGTTATCCCCACGGGGTCAAATAATTAGTATCATCCGTAGTTCCTAATAACGAATGAGCAAAATAATTAAATTCACTGTAAAAGCTTGCACAAACGAGCCAGCGGCCAACTGAATCCGCCAAAATGGCGAAGCGACCGTTGCCCGCCCATAGACATCTGCAATTGCAGATGTCTTTGGGCGTTGACTACCCTTATCCGTCAGAGGAGGAGATGCACATAAAGAGGATATTTCCCCTTCCTATGTATCTCCTCCCCCGTCAAATTCACTTCCCCTTCCCATCCCCTCCTTATAAGAAAAGGGTGGTAAAGAGAAAGAGACTTAAATTAGGCACACCTGAAACTATCGCACAACACACACACAATCGATTGTTCTGCAGTCAATTATAAAAAATCGAGTAGTGTGCGCACCTCCATATAAAGTCATAGGAATCAAAGCAAGATAGTTGTGTTTGGTTTTTTTTTTTAATTTTTATTTTCAACTTCTACAGACCCTTGGTCCGTACTCTTTTTGCACAGTTTGTTTTATTTTTTTTTGTTGCATTACCGTATATCATTAGTGAGTTCCCTTTTTTTTCTTAATTTTTATACACAATTATACTACTGCTTTAACTTATCGACGGATGTATCTTTGAACCGAGTCTATGTAATTTGTGTTTGGTTCTAGATGTAGGAAGCGTATAGATAATTCGAATACATTTTGAATACACGACAAATGCGTATTGTCAAGCTAAAAACAAAGCAATCTATCATTAACCGTCATTCAGTGTTACCTCAACTGGCAACACTCGAAATTACCTTTGGAAATATGACACGTCAAATGAATTCCCTTTGTCAACTCTCGCTGTACAGTCGCGTTAATAATTCACAAATATTAATGAACATTTATTTGTCTGTGTGATTAGCTATTCTCTGTTTGAATAAAACAGTGTTGGTATAGTTACGTAACAAAATGGTATTGTAATTTTCAATTTAATTGTTTGACTAATGGAAAATTTTGCTAATTAGGAATTATTGGAATTGCTTAATTAGTTTTTTTTTTGCATTTGTTTGCAAAAATTCTGTATTCTAAGATGTTTTATTTAATACTAGCTTTGACCCGCGACTCCGTCTTCGTGGAATTAAAAAAAAAAAGTAGACTATGTGTTCTTCAAGGCTAACCTCTATAAATATACGAAATACAATTGAAATGCGTTTTGTTGTTAAGGCTTCCAACTCTCAAACGTCCATCCATCTATCTAAACTTTCGCATTTATAATATTAACTAGTATAAGGTTAATTGTGTTTACTGTAAAGCTTTTTGTAACATTTCGAGTTGCTATAATTATTAGATCTGCAATCTTAGAATTGCTAGTTTTCTGTCTATGTCTGTCTAAAAGAGATAGGATAGGAGATTCAGCTGGAGTATACAACAGGTATTTAAGGAAGCTACACACATGATTTATGAGAAACATTTATACGTGTTTATTTAATTTTAATGAGGCAATTACACGTCGTGCGCGACTGTACGCGTCGGAAGATATTTTCATTTCATTACTGCGGCTTGTTTGTTCCTCGCGTTTCTGCGACATATGAGTTTTATTGTTAACTGTACTATGTTGTACATAACTTGTGTTCATATTATGTTATGTACATTTACACATTGATAAGATAGTTCGAACTCATATATTTGAGATTCTATATCGTAACAAAGAATCTTATATGTGTGAATTTGACCTATCTTACCACAACAACAACAGCGGTAAAACCCGCTTTAACATATTCGCACGAATGGGCCAGCTCGCCCGGTGTAATACCACGACGAAGTGGAAGCTATTCCGCGTTTCGTCTGATAGTGTGGTGCCGGAGGCCTAATTTTAGTCCTATTCCCCTTTCCACCCTTTTCTGAGAAAAGGATGGGAAGGAAAAGTGGATTTGACGGTGGAGGAGACGCATAAGAAGGGGAAATGTCCTCTTTATGTGCGTCTCTTGATCCGTCAATTAAGGGTAGGCAACTCATCTGCAATTGCGGATGTTTATCAGCGGTCGCTTTCCATTTCGGTGGATTCAGGTGGCCACTTAGTCGTTTGCCACCTTATATTTACTGTTAACTTTTTTTAAAGAGAGAACGGGATGGTAATATATGTACAATAATAGTTAAGGACATATTAAGGACTTGTAATGCGATTAGAATAATTATTTAGTTGTAAATGTCTAAGACGGGCGCACACTTTTAAATTAACAATCGCACAGGTGTTGTGCGATTGTCGATTGTTTTGCTAAGTCAACTGTTTAGTTGCACAACTAAAAATCGAGTAGTGTCCACCTCCATATAAGCTCATAGGAAGCAAAGCAAGGATAAATAGTTGTGCGATTTAATAGTTTCTGGTGTGCCCACTCTTAATGTGTCATAACAGATAGATAATATATAAAAACGCTTCGAAAGAACAGGAATTAAGCGTTATGTAATATTATGTTACAAATATCACGTTTCGCTTCTTCAGCCAAATCTAATAACACAGGGGGTAGGTTACTGTTACCCTTCACAAATCTAATTACTTGGCCGTCGTCAGGACAAAAACAGTCGGCTTCAATTTGACTGTAGCGATATACCACTTCAACTGGGTCAAACTTGAAGGAAGGGCGAGGTTAGGGTGACCATCATACTAATAAATACGAAAGTTTAGATGGATGTTTGTATTTGTTTGTAGCCTAAACGACTGAACGGATTTTTGATAAAAATTATAGACGGAGATGATAGTCTGGAAGAACTCAGGCTACTCACTTTTGTTTTTTAATTCCACGCGGACGGAGTCGTGGGCGAAAGCTAGTAATATAAAAGACCGCACAGACGTTTATTAAAACAATATATGGTAAGTAAAAGCCGTTATTACGACTGAATATTACTAATCCTTTTGATGTTATAAACGGTTGTCCATGTTAAACAATAGTTTGTTAAGATTATAATTATTACTAAGATTAGAAGTTTAAATTGTGACTGCTATTCATTTCTTATTCATATGTTTTCGTAAATTCTAAATTTTATTTTTCTATCCGGTAATAGTGTAGTCACCCTATTTATGGACAAATGGCGATACCACGATGAATTGATGGTGTTTCAGGGTAAGTCGATTTAAAAGATTAGCGAGGTCTGTCGTTGCGGTTATCGGGTCACGGCGTGGGGTGGATTCGACCCCACACCTATAAAGGTGTGCTACGATTTTGAAATGGAAATCCGTGAACTTGTATGATTGGATAATTAAATTGACTTTTTTGATGATAATTCGCAATTTAGTAACATTTTTTATGGTATATAGCGACCCAGCTTCGTCTGGCAAAGAATATATTACGGAGTAACAATCTAGCTTTCTATTGACGAAAGAAACTTTGAAATCTGTTCAGTAATTTCAGAGCCTGATAAATGCAATGAAACAATCAAGTCTTTTTCATATTAGGAATAATAAAAATATGTTTTACTAACGCTGCTGGTGTTGCTAGTTTATTTGTTTGTTTTATAAAAAAAAATTACAGTACTTTATTTATTAGAAACAGTGTAATTATGATGTTTAACTATTAGAAATACCGTTTGTTAGTACAGTACATCTCTTAGTTAATTGTACAATAGCTCAGGGCAGCTTTCACGGTATTATTGCTGTTAAGACTAGCAATTCCGAGAGTCGAGTAATGTTGAATAAACTCAGTTATTACGTAACAGTAATTACAGTTTTAACTGTTCTATTCTCTCAGTATTTTGCACTTAAAATATTTGATAATTAAGTATTTAATTAATACTAAACTTAAAGAGGAAAACTTTGTTTGATTGTATTGAACTCAAAAACTACTGGGCCGATTTCAAAAATTCTTTCACCATTAAAAATCTACGTTGTCAGTGAGTAACATAGACTGTATATTTTTCATGCGGACGGAGTCGCGGGCGAAAGCTAGTAACTAAATAAAGTGGGTCCCTAACTTTCACATAGACGGCAAATTTCTTCTTCAACTATTATACTTTAAACTCCATTTCCATTATACACTTGCCGGGTTTTTGGGAACGCAGGATTTAGACTACTTTTGGAATCATTGATAAAAATATTATTCTAGAGAAACCCAAGGTACGCGATTGTATTGAGCGTTACTAAAAGGATTAAGGGTGATTTCCACTACGAAATATTGTTGATTTACCTGAGCAATTTGACGTCCCAGAGTGCGATGACCTCAGGTGGCCTGGCGACCGCAAGCGCGAGCCGCGGCCCACAAGCGTGAAGGCGTGCTGGCCCAGCTCGGGCGCCGCTGCCCGCTGGTGAAGATACGATCACTGCTGCGAACTCCTTACTGCTGCCTAAGTTATGTTGGACCTGACAGAAGTAGGATAAGATTCAATATTGCTTTCCAATACTGCACTCATAATAAAGTGTAGATTTAACTAGAGAAATCTAAACTAAAGTATTTATTATTGATTTTTTTAACTCTGTTGTAGTAATAAAAAAGTAAGTCGATATCTTAAATGTGGATTTAATTACCTTATAGAAGTATCTACCTCACTCAGAATACTTAGGTGATCACTAAAGATGCGGCTCAATGGTCACTTGTGTGTTTGCGTGTGTGTGTGCCACTTACTTTTCATTTAAAGTAGGGTGCAAATGCTGGGAACAACGCTTATCTATTTCTTATATCCTCAACATTTTGGAACTTAAGATGTACTACAAACTATAAAGGTTTGTCAATTAAATGGCCTTACCTTAACTCTCCACTGTATCAATATTTCTCGAGTATCAAATGCAAGGACTGGTACAACGTCCTCACAGAGGATAGCGAGTGTGTTGGACTCTTTATCGAGGGTGAAGCCAGCTTCGAAGCCGAGGTACTGCTGCAGGGAAAGTGAGGCCTTTGTTTGCCCGTTGCGCTGCCGCTCCTTCAAGTCTTTATACAGCTGCAGGTGTAAGCAGTCTGGAAAAAATAAATTTACTTAAATTGCATGTTACAAAAAAGTAATAAGCTATTTAATTTTTTTTTTACATCATTGCAATTTTGAACAACGTTACGATTTTCTGAATTGTTACGCATAAGATCGTGATATACCCAATGATTATTTCATATACTAAGAGCCTGTCCCACCACTGGCTGATAGAGGCTCAGATAGCTTAAAAATGACGTCATTATATAAGGGAACAAAATCCAATATTTCCATCACATATTTCACACGTTGGATTGTTATCAGACAATTTGGTGTGACAGGCCGCAAAATTTAAATAATAAAAGCTTTATTACTATATCTTATTATTAATAATAATGACTATTAAACTATTTACATAATAAGGTACTATTAATCCCGCAATAGTGTGTCCACGCCTTTAACTTTGTAAGCCCACATGTGTATGCGTGTTTTGGCGGGAACAGTGAATGACGTTTCCTTGTTTGTAATTAATGAATGATGAATGATCTGCGAGTGAATGGATGAGTGTAGTGTTAAATGGGACTTTATTAAATATTTAAAAATGAATTATTTATACAGATTTACGTTCAAAAATACAGAAGATTACAATTTATAAAGTTAATAGCTTTCGCCCATGACTCCGTCTGCGTGGATATAAAAAAAGTGAGAAGCCTATATGTTCTTCCAGACTATCCTCTACAACTGTGCCAAATTGCATCGAAATCTATTCAGCCATTTAACATCCATACATCTAAACTTACGCATTTACAATATTAGTAAGACATGATATTTTTACTTATTAAAGAAAATTCAAAAGAATTTATTATGGTTGAGGTATATTTAAAAAAAAAAAACACCTGACAAAACAACGTCTGGGACAATCTTACGTATTTTTGTCTAAATAAAGTCAAAGAAAGAAGTGAAGTTAAAATTAAAGGCAGCATTTGCGAGATACAGAAAAATGAAACGACTAAAGACAGGACTGTGCTGAACAAACATATTAATTACGAATAATCAACCAATCAAAATTGAACCCTAACTCCGACGTTTAAAGCTCATTTTCCTTTACACGACAATTTCGCTGTTACATCCCCAGTCATCTATTATCTTACAAGCACTGCTATTTTATTAAACGAATTTTCAACTATAAACATTGGGGATAGAGTTCAAATTGCTCTGTATAAGTTAACAGGCGACATATGACAGCCACTACATCAAAATCGAGTGTTCCATTTTCAAATGAATTGGGAACCATTTTCTAATTGGCGCGACGTGACTCGGTCGTTGGGATCTAATCAGAGAATGTTTGAATTTGGAATCTAATTTGTCCTGAACATCCGCGATTGTTCCCTCGCTTTGTGTTTGTTTGTCTGTTCCCACTAATAGTTTTAATTGGATTTAATCAGTCGATAAATGTATAGGCTTTGTTAGTATACGAGCCACGCAAAAGTTCGTCTAGTATTGAAAGTTGAGCAAAGCGTAAAATATAGAAAGTAATTTGATAAAAAGTAAACCACAATTTGAGGAACATTTTAATGTTTATTTTAACATAACTGAAATTCACGACTTTACATAACATAAAAAAGTATTCTAAAAAAGTTAACGCAAAAGTATTCGTTTACCCTTGTTACTAGCGCAAAATAGTTCGTCTACCACCTAGTTGTTGTGTAGAAAACAAAACAAAAATTACGAAACTATAGCAGTGATTTTAATTGGTTATTTGACAGTTCATTGAAACAGTAAGAACTTGCGAATACCTTTGACTAAACTATCTTATAACTACTTAGTCGCGCTTTGATTCCTATCTTCTATACTATTATAATAAAGCGTAAACACGCACTTCTTTGTTGCCTAAGATGTCAGAAATTACACCATATTTTTTAATAATTATTTTTTTAATAAAAAGCTCTACACTTACGTCACGCTTTAGGCTATATATTTTCAGGCTATTAAACTTAGGGGGTAAATATTTTGAATGAAAGCCCTAATGTGGGAAAGAGACCATAAGTTGCTGCCAACATCAAGGAAGCAAGATTGCCAAGTTTTGTCATGTCATGTCATTTTGACATTTGCAATTGACAATTTGACAAATGTATACAATAAAATAATTTTATGCTGATGAAATCCCACGAGAACAGCTAGTTAGAACATAAGTTCGATATAAAATTGAATACTTTGTCCGATCACCTTACAGCATTTAAGTAACGTAGGTGTAAAATATAGGTTAGGATTTTACTAAATACCTTATTTACAATAAATTTAGGTAAACCGAGTTCGGCCCTGGGCTAGTTATCCTGAGTACAATGAACTAAAAGGGTCGGTCAAATACTCTAATTTATTTGCGGTGGATTTTTTCTTGGGAAAAATCCGTAGCTATCTAATCAGCAGGCCCCCGGGCGCAGCACGCGACCACTAAATTGTTCGACCTAACTTTAACCAACAGAACCCCTACCACGATACAAAACATCTGAGTTCGTTCGAAAATACGTTGCCCGTATCTCGAAATACAACTCAAGCCCGCTACACACGTTTAGTTTTACCTACTCACGTTAGATTTATGTTCAAATAAAACTGAGTGTGTATAGCGGGCTTTAAATTGTAGATCGTTAACATTACTAAAAGACTTTAAAATTAAAAATACAACACAATTCTCATATTATCTGTATTATTTGTAACTAGCTGTTACCGTGCGGCTTCATCCGCATGTAATTATGAAAATTTTATTTTATTGTTTACATTTGTCAAATTATCAATAGCAAATGTCAAAATGACATGACATTACAAACCTTGGCAATCTTGCTTCCTTGATGTTGGCAGCAACTTATGGTCTCTTTCCCATATTAGGGTTTTTATCCAAATCATTTACCCACTATGTTTAATGGCGTGAAAATATATAGCCTATAGCGTGACGTAAGTTTAGGGCTTTTCATTAAAGAAAGAATTATTCAAAAATATGCCGTAATTGCTGACATCTTAGGCAACAAAGAAGTGTGTGTTTACGCTTTATTATAATAGTATAGATGAAGATTTTAGTGACAGCTGTATGAATGAGATATTTAGACGAAACGATATACAAAATAACAGTGTTTTTGCGAAGTTTTTTAATATTATCAACTATTATGGGAAATATCGTATTTGTTTTCTCGCATTGTAATGTAACGCTTCAATTGATTTTGTACAAAAATGTACAATAAAACACAAGAATAAATGACCGTAACTAAAGCATTTAATTGCGCTTTGTCGATATCTAGACAATACTCTGTCGGTTCAGTTGACAACAAAAGGGTATCTTTTTATATCTATTGTTGAAATTTTTACTTTTTTAATATAATTGTGACGAAGTGACGAAAGTAAAACTCAAATCAAGGTTAACATAGGATTTTGTCACTTACTTTTTGTTTGAAACAATCATTGAAGCAAAAAATTAATGAATAATTTTAATCAAATATGAGCATTTAAATGAATAAAAATTCAAACATGACATAAAATAAAAATACAATTTATCGAAGTTTAAATTTAATTCGAGTGAGTTTGTTTCGAGTTTAATTAGTAGGGGTGGTTATGTATTCAAGTATGAAAGAAGGTTTATTTGCGAAAGGTTCCGTGACTGACCCAATCTTAGTAGTTATCCTTGTTAGAAGATAGAGGTCGCTATATTCTAATCAGTGTATTATAATAATTGAGAATGGTTGATAGTCAATAGACAAATGTTTAGAATGTATAGCCTTATGGAAAGGTCACCTAGGTGGCCTAGATCAAATCTATATTGTGAGAATTAAAAAGTTACATTCGAGTTTCGTTTTAAATATATTTGGATGGATGGATATAAGGTATCACGTAACATCAAAACTGAACAGTTATCTATGAAATTTGCCACAGATGTAGTACATAGTCTGGAAGAAATAGGTTACTTAACATATTTTACAAGTTTTTCGAAATGAATCGCTGAGAAGTTGCGGTCTAAAGTTAGTAATCATATAGCGTAACAAAATGGAATCAATGTTTTCCTCTTAGTCATGTTAAAAACATATTTAAAAATATTTCACTATTCAACATATTTTAAAAATACGTTTTTGAATATGGAATATATTTTAAATTCAAAATTATATTCTAGAATATTTATTTAATATACATTTTCTCAATATCTAGAGACTTGTAGCTTGAAGGCATCCGTCTTGTTATTTCGTTAGCACACGTAGTTTGTGACTGGATAACTTTTTAGTATGAAAATATAATTTCATAACAATGCTTTAGTTAAAGTTAGATAAAGATTTCTGTTTACAGCACTTTATAATAACAGTAGTTGTTGCGACTTCGCCTGCGTGATATTTAAAAAATATAGCCTATGTTACTCACAGATAAATTACCTTTCAAACGAAAGAAATTTTAAAATCGGCCCAGTAGTTTTTGAGTTATTACAATGCATACAAAAATACAAATCTTTCCTCTTTATAACATTAGTATAGATACATACATACAATTCTTATTATATCAGTAGAAAAAGTGGTTTTATTTAACGAAGGCGCTTTATATATATTTAGTAACAATATTTACTATATTTAAGATTTAACATTATACAAAAGTACGAAAAAAAAATCATACGTAAAGCTACCGAATATCGTTCCGTACGTTTTCAATAGAATTCCTCAAGGAAAATCTCTGCATGAGAGGACGAATTCTATTTTCCTTTGGGATCGTTAAACATGTGAATAAGTTAGTGCGGGTTCAAACGGCGCCGAGCTGCTGAACGGCGCGGCGCCTCTCCTGCGACATAAATAACGAAAACCGTTTCCTTTTGCCTTAAATGTATATACATTTTACTAGCTTTCGCCCGCGATTCGAGGCGCGCGGTATTAAAATAATACTAATAACCTGTGTTCCAGACTATCGTCTGCATCTATGCTAAATTTCATCTAGATCCGTTCAGCAGTGTAGGCTACAAACTCTAACAAACATCCATCTAAACTTTCAAGTTTATAATGTTAGTAGAATACGTAAATTTAAATGAATGTTT